GAAAGGCGGTAAATCACAATTTTTCTATAATTTAAAAGTAAATATGCAGTCCTATTTTATGATATGCATGCGTGACCATAGTATATTTGCATGTATATTTCCATAGTATATTGCGTGTATATTTGCATGTATATTTCGCATGTATATTTGCATGTATAACTGGCAACGATTTTAGCTGTATATTTGCGTGACGATAGCATATTTCACTTTTAGTGAAATGATATGTGAAGTTGTTGTGTACCTTTTGCATAATGTAATAATAAAATGTAAAGCAGCGAAAGTAAGAATACGGAAGTGAAAAAGTAAGAATGCAAGTCCATTTAACAATGGGTTATCTATCTAATTCCAATCTAATTTTACGAGATATCACCAAACTGGCAACGATTTTGGCGACTAATTTTTGTCGCCAAATGTGGTGTTTAATTGCGAAGAGTCGCCAAACTCAGTGAGCATTTCGGTTTGTAACATTTGAGTCCTGTCGCTGAATCATCGTAATAGATATTGTAATTGAATAATTGTAGTTGATGTTTCGTATAACTGTATTTGGCACTCATATTCCTTCCAGTTATTTCGAGAAGCAGAAAGTACTAAAAATATCTCAGCGGGTACAGTCTTTCTATCCTAAGAAAAGCTTTCACCAGTTAGTCTGCAGCTGCCTGTTGCCATAGAAAGATGCTTTGACCCATTTTACGTAGGGGTGTCTTGAAGACGAAAGATAACTCTTTTTCCCTCAGCCAACAGTCGCCCAAAACAAAATAACAATAAAGCATTTCTTGCTTCGACCCTATTTGAAATGTACTAGCCTTGTTGCTATAGCGACCGCCACCCGCCAGACACTATGGCGGGAACTATTCTTCTCGTAGACAGACAGTAAAGACTGGGGAGAGCATCTGTCCTGAGTAGTTGTTGTTGTGGATTATTAGTTCAGCATAAGGTCGGAGTATTGAGAAATCACCGAATTAGCTTTGCGTTAGATGCGCTTTGACTTGTATTGTGTTTAATGTTTTTAGTAGTTTGAAGTGTAACTACTGATTGCGTTCTGCGCAAAAAAGAAAAAAAAAAAAAAAAAAAGATTAAAAAGTCTGAAAGGTTAAAGATTTTAAATTACGTTAAAGGGGCGTTTTTTAACATTTTTTTTAACATTTATTTGTCAAATATCACGTTCTTCGCACTTAAACCATAAGATTCAGTTCAAAAGCAATATCGCAAAATAGTTTTAAAATGAGCATATCCTTTAGAATTATCGATACAGAGGCTCGCGCGCTGGAGATAAAAGTGTTTTTCTGTACAACGTTGCCATGGCTCGCTTTGAAATCTTTGAATTCGTTAATCAAAATTCGTTAAAGTTTTACAAAATAGGAAATCGATATTAAATTCCAAATTTCAAATTTGGTCTTCCAAATTTGAAATTTGGAATTCCAAATTTGAAATTTGAAATTTGAAATTTGGAATATTAGTAGGAGGATTACGGCATTCAAAATTCGATGGCTCTAGGTACCGTTGTTTTATCACAATGCGAGAAATATACATACATTTATGAAGATTTGTCATTATTTAATTTCTTGAAATGCAGTACTCTAACATTTGGTGGCAACATTTTGAAAAGTGATTCGCCGTTTATAGTGATTCAACGCAAAATTGCAAAACGAAAACAATAGTCCTTCAGGGACAAAGCCCATTTGGAATAAAAACGAACAGTTTATATCTCCCGTTCTTACTGGGCCGGACGAAATTCAACTTTCTTTTTCCATGTCTCGAAAGCGTGACTTAGGATATGCATTAGTTTTATATATCTCACTGTTCTAATATAACACTTTTATCACAAAATCGGAATTTTTCTGAAGTGCCATGCCAATCGTTTTCTATATTTCGATTCTGTAACTTAAATTATGCCAAACTGCCAAGTTTTGCAAAAATTGCACTAGCAGTTTTTAAAAAATTAACTCTTAAAATTTTAGCTCCTCAGTGTTAATTGAATTTGATATATTCTTATGGATTTGGCATTTAAATACTTAATAATAGATGAATTATAAGTTGAGAGCAGTGCAGCGCGTGACGAATATCAAAGAAAAACTAACCCGGAAAAATTAAAAATGCAAGAGCACGTGCATTTAACATTTAATAAATAAATATCTCTTTTTGATTTCGAGAAAATACCAGAAAATTCTCGCGCATTTAAAAAGCTTATATAAAAGCAACATAAAAAACTCTCACTTCGTTATTTCAAGATGCATTGGCTGTGGACAGTTCACGGGAGGGTGACCCCCACCTGACTACCACTGTCCAATCTGTGTTTTACAGCAACGATGAATTTGAATATTTTGTTTAGCTAATCTGTTGCACTTAGTTGTGCCATTTGTCTTCATTTAGATCGCGATATTAGTTTAATTATTCCAATCTGGATAACCTGTTTCAAAACTTGATAATTATTAATATATCCAATATTTCTCATTGCACGCGTAAGCTGCTTTGCTCGGAGTCTCAAAATTTCACAAAATTTGACAAGTTTCGCCTAGTTGGCGCGGCGTAAATCGCCTTAATAAAAACTTAAGTACCAACGACTTTGGGCAATTTACCAACAGAGACGGTTAAAGTAGCGGTTGGCTACTAATTGCCGCCTAGCCATTGACTCGATTTCGATTTCGATTTCTCTCTCCGTTATTTAGTTATTAAGAAGGTTTTTTTAGAAAACGGCTCTTGTTGACTGTAGCGAATTCGTGGATTAGCTTTCTCTAGCTGTTTTGAATTAAGTTCTGTTGAACGTCTGAGTTGTTAAAAGATAACTACTGTAAGATATTGTAATTCTGAACGAATATCAGAGGTAAATTTAAACATTTTGTTTCATTTGTTGTGATAATAATACATTTTTGTTCATTTTTCATCGGACTTGCGCATTTAGTTCATTAGTATGCACGCAACAATATATTTATTAATATCTCTTTATTAAACTTATTTTATTCTTCTTTTCATATTTCGAAATATAGATTCATTCCACATAAAATTCGCCCATTTTTTATGATTTATTTTTAAAATCTGTATTTTTATAAATTTTTTGAAAAAAATTTTAAATTATAACCTATAAAACTTTTGCCATCATCTTAAAGTAGATGCATTTCTAAGCGCACCTGCAAAAAATTAGAGTTTTTTCTTCAAACTTTCCTTCAAAATATACGTGAATTTGCATTTTGGCGAGTTTCGAAATTTGGCGTATTTATTATAAGAGATAATGACGAAAATGTGGTTTACGCACTTTGTTAAAATTATTTGAAATTATGAACGATGACTTTTTTCCGCTCGTGGACAATGAAAAAAGGAAAAGAGAATGGGTTGCTATACATTTAAAAGAAGTTCGCCAAGTGAATTGTACTTGGCTGAAACTGAAAAAAATACGCTAAGATAAATTCTTAAATTTCTCACCAAAAATTACAAAATTTTATATTTAGGCATATTTTGAGTCTTAGACTCAAAATAAGGGGAAAAACTGGTATATTATTTCAGAAAAAGTGCGATTTCGTGTCAAAGTAGCTATGTTGGAACAACGTTGTGTATTAATATACGCATATCCTAAGTCAAGCTTTTGCGACATGGAGAACGCAGTTTGAATTTCGTCAGTCGACCCAGTAGAAGGGGAGCTATAGAAATGTCCTTTTTTTCTCCCGTAGTGTACCTTTTGATACTGTGAACATCTGTAATAGTATTTTTGTGGAATATTCCAAAACTCTGGTGTATTTCTTTTGACATAATAAATTTTATCATCAGAGCAGTATGCATTCATTCTATTGTAAACCCGTAAGTACGCAACAGTATCAATTCAGTTTGGGCTAAACAGAATCTTTGGGATATAAGTAAACTTGTAAAAGTAAACGGATGTAAAAAATATTTCAATAAATGATTAAAAATTTCTTAAAATGCATTGAAAGTACATTTTTTCTATTCCATTACAAGGTTCCTTTCTTACCATCCATGACATCTGAAATCGCCAAATGTAGGTTATTGAGTGAAATGCTATTTGTTTGGGCAATTGCATATGAGTGTTTCTTTTTAATGAAATTTAAATGCAAAACACGTTAAAAATGGAAATGTTGAAAATAATGTGAGATTTTAAATGAGTTAAAAACTAACATTATTATTGAAAATTATGTGTGCAAAGAATAAGCCATTTCTGAATTTAATGAAAATAAATAAGGTTATCCAAAAGCATTTTTTTTAAATCAATGCACCACAATTAGTTGAAAGGAGTGGGATTTTATATAGCGATTCTTCTGTAACTAAGACCTATATAGATTTATGTTTTATTGTACAAAATATATCTCTCTCGTAGTTTATTTAATACATATTACTTGATATTTAGATTGATTTTTAATAATTCCTTTAATATTCTCTATATTCCTATTGCATGAGTTTTATAATTTACCGTTGTAAATGTAATATTTAAACGTATCTGTACAGATGAAAATAATAAGATTCCTCTCGTAGCAACTGAAGAATATTTATTACGTTTGAATGGATATAAAAATATTTAAGATTTATTATTCTAAATTAATTTAAATATGAATGAGCACAATCTTGGCTTAGTGTAATTTTAACTGCAAACACAAGCTGGAGAAAATATATTTGGGGTTCAAAATGACATTCTTTTTTAATACTTTATTACCTATAAATCATTTTATAGAAATAACAGTGTAACTACAGATGCATTTTGGCAGTGTCCGTAAACATTGTGTAATGTATTCTTCATATACTTTCACATAAAACTTTAGGCAACATTTTATTAATTAAGAATTTCTGATTCAGTTTTGAATGGGCCATGTAAGTGCATAAATATCCTCGTGGGTTTAAAACAACTATGCTGTATGTATTATAAGTTCTAAAAAAAGATTTTATTTTTTTTCTTATTCTATATGTTAATCTCTCAGTGTAAACAGTTTTAATCTTTACAAATAAATTTCAACTTAAATAAAGATTTTAAATGTACAGTTTTTGTCGTTCATTTTCCTTACCTTCAGATATCCGTACTAATTTTGATAGCATTTCAATTTCTTCCTTATTATGTTGATACCTGTCCATTGTGAAAAGTATCCTAGGCTTTACCAACCTGAAACGATTGATGACTGCCTGAAATGTAATAACAAAATGTCCTTGTTATATATTTATTATAAAGTCCTTGTTATATATTTGTTATATATAAAGTTATATATTTATTATAACAGGATTTATGTCTAAGTGTTTTTCTAAATCTTCCAAGAAAGTCTTAATATTTTATTTTGAACTTCAATAATCTAAATGATTTCTTTAAATTTTTTTCATTTCAATCTGATATGTTTCAAACCATGTAACAATTCGTATATTAAAAGCAGTAAATGATTTCAAACGTCCTGTCCAGTTCATAAAGTTATAAATGTAAATTATGAACTGATACATTTGTATTACATGTGCACATTTTGTATAGGAGCATCAAAATATGAGATTATTAAAGTTCATGATTATGATTGTCTCTTTGGGCTTAATGTCAAATCTGAAAGCTTAGAGATTTTTTTAATATCCTTTTTTCATTGTATTATTGGTATTGTGCGGAACATGTTTACCGTGTAAAAAGAGAAAACGGTAAACGTAGCACATGCATACTATGCATTGGGTATAGTACCATAGCAGTAAATCAAATTTTATTATTTTATCAGTTATTATGAAGAAACTGATTAATATTACTTAAAAAAATATCTTAAATATTCTATATTATTAAAATCATTAATATATTTTAAAATATTTAATAAAATTATTATTAATTTTTGTTAATATTTTATTATTATTATTATTCTATACCAAAACTGGACCGCTCCGGCTTATGGGACCTATAAATCTCTTTTATTTGTGTATTGGTTAACTTTGCGCTGGTTTGTTTAGTTTAAAATATGCTAGGTATTAAACTAGCATGTGGTATAAGCGAAAGCACTCTTTCATAAGGTTCAAGGGCTACTTGCTGTAGTTCATAACGCTAGCATGGCAGTATTGCAAGTATTCTTCTTTATATTTATAATCTTTATAATATAATCTGTATATTTTTTCCTGTATTATATAATATGTAACACATTTTTGCAATGTGATAAAGAGAAATCTTCTCTTTGGAAGACCTCCTTTTTTGAAACCTTCTTTTGAATATTCTTTTTGAAATACTTTAAAGCAATATTAAACGCTTTTTAAGGGGGATAATATAGTATTAAGTTGTGTAATTAAAAAAAAGTAACTTACGGAGACATTTTTACTTGCTTTTCTTGTGAATTTATTTGAAACACAGAAGAATTTGAATTTTAGCATAGTTAAGCTTGATGTAAATAAATACCACATTATTATTTGCTTCCTCTTAATCAACCAAATAATTATTTAACAACAATTTTATTTTGCAACTGCCATAAATAAACAACATCTTGTTGTCATTATGAGTCTGATGTTTTATTATTAATACATGAAGAAGAAAACAACGTACAGTTGTCATCAATTAGACTAATCTTCTGTGAAATGTTGGAATCATATCTAAAAGAAAATTTCGTCATTAAATAAACGCTTACCTGAGCCCCTAACTGCGGCAAAGCTCCTGTAAAAATAGCTCCGATGCTCGTCACACCAAGCATGGAGAAAACTGCTTCTTTTCTATTAGACATGTAGCCTAGAATCATAAATTTCAGTGTATATCAAAGGTTTAAAATTAAAACTCATTATTTAACCAATTTCCATTTTCAAGACTTTCTAAAAACTAGTTCAACTTTATTTTGCTTTTAGAAGTACAAAATAAAATATTAAATATAAAATATATAATATATGTATTTTTTTACAATTTTTACAATAGAAATCATTAGAATTAATATATTTAAGTGAGATTAGAAGAAAGTTTTTAGTATAGATATTAATCTGTAACATGTCGTTGGATGTACACCGCACAAAAAAAAAAAAAAAAGAGAAAAAAAAAAGGTGAGGGACAGTTCTATATCTTCCGTTCTAGTGGGCCGAATGAGGAAATTCAAATTGCATTTTTCGTTTCTCGAAAGCGCGACTTAATATATATATAGTGTATTTATATATAGCCTTGTTATAACATAGGTATTTTGACATAAAATCGGACTTTTTCTGAATTAGCATACCCATGTTTTTCCATATTTCGATTCTACGACTCAAATTATGGCTTTATCTTGGCACATTTTTTTTTCAGTTTGCTTCAAAAATAATTAATCTATCGCACATCCTAATTTATATTTTCCTTTCCCTTTTTTCTTTGTACACGAGCAGAAAAAAATTATCATCTTTCATACTTTCAAATAATTTTGACAAAGTGCGTAAATCACATTTTGCGTTATTATCGCTTAAAACAAACATACCAAATTTCAAAACTTTCCAATACGTAACTTCACGCATATCGTAGGAAATTTTGAATAAGAACTCTAATTTTTTGCAGGTACGCTTAGAAATAGATCTACTTCAAGATGATGGTAAAACGTTTTTCGAAATATTTATAAAAAATATTTTAAAATACAAATTTAAAAAATAAATCATAAAAATGTGCGAATTAAGCCTAAATTTCGAATTCTGGAAGTAATGATCAAGTAAGTTTAATAAAAAAAAGAGATATTAATAAATATATACCAAATTCAATTAACAATGAGGAGCTAAGATTTTGAGAGCTAATTGTTTTGATGATGATGTCGTGTCTATGACAAAGTACAATTATATAGCTTCAAAGCTGTCAAAGACAGCTTTGGGCAACCTCGGCAGCTCTATCAGTATAAAGTAGGTCTACTGGGTCTTCAATGCCGATGTTAAACAGTCTGGCCTGGATTGCTGGGAAGCTGAAGATGTGATGGCAAGACAGTGGGATGTCATCTGGGCAATGAGGACAAATGTTGGTGTAACTACGCTGTCCGTTACACCAACATTTGTCCTCATTGCCCAGATGACATCCCACTGTCTTGTCACTGTCTGCAGAAATCCTCATCCCTTTTAAGTGATTTGTCCTAAGTCTGGTTATGATAGTCGATATGGCTCTGTCACAGTTCAATTCCGGGATGGAGTTTCCTTTAACTTGACCGATTAGTCTTTGGCTGGCAACTGCATTGGCATCAACGAGGGTTAGGCAGAAAAACTACTTGTGCGATTTGTACAAAACTTGGCAGTTTGGCATAATTTGAATCGTAGATTCGAAATATGGAAATGAATTGGCATGACATTTAAAAAAGTCCGATTTTGTGTCAAAATGCTCATATTAGAACAAAGCTATATATAAATCTAATGCATCCTAAGTCGCGTTTTCGAGACATGAAGAACGCAAGTAGAATTTCGTCAATCGGCCTAGTAGAATGGAAGATATAGAACTGTCTCCCCCTTTTTTTGCAGTGTACTTTTGAAATATAACCTCCACAGGTAAGCACAAAATTTAATATTAACAATACACTTCATTAAATAAGTTATTAGCTTATCAAATGCAGAGGGATTCAGATATTGGTAAGTAATCCAAGGATTTACTATAATGAAATAGATATAATGCAGCGCGTGGTAGGGAAGAAAGACGGGCAGAATTAATATTGGAAGTAAATATTTAGCCATCTATAGCCAGGGTCAAAGTCAGCGTCATAAGGCTTCCAAGTTCCCGCGAAATGTCGTGTTGTGCCACTGTTACAGTAATAATCATAGCCAAAGCAGTATTGAAAAAGATTAAATAATTAATACTACCTTGATTTCATTCACATGTAAGAAATCAGTTACATATCAAAAATTAATTATTCAGGATTTCCAGCCATAGATGCTATTTCAGTACAATATCCATATGCTAATCTAATAAAGCGCGTCTCTCAGTGAAATCGTGAATGAAATAATAACCACTTGCTAAAATATCCCCCCTTCTTTCGCTCTTCATTTTTATTAACTGCTGTCGTTTGCAAATACGCCTAGTTGTTTGACTTTTATAATTTTTGAAATTTCTATAGGTTTCAGAACACATTCATGACCTTTAACATACAGTATTAAACATGTTACATCAATTTCAGAAACGTATGCGGTCATATATTTTCCATCTAAAAATTCGATGAATAATTAAAAAGTAATTTTTAACATATTTAATTAAATTTTTTTAACATATATAATTTTTTAACACCGAGCTTCAAAGAAAGAACATTCAAGCTACGTACAAGCCGCAATATCTCCCTTTTTCAATCCAAACTTCCGGAGAGCTGCAGCATATAATGTGGCCTCTTCATACATTTCAGCATATGTAGTCCTTGTCACTCCACTTTCCTCACCTCAGGGAAAAATAATAAATTAATTAATAACAAGAAACAAACAGTTGTATAAATAATTAATATAATAATAAAGAGAGAATAATATGAAAATAGTTCTTGCATTTTCAAATGGTAATATCGTATTAAAATTTATAGATAATGATTCTACCAGAATTTTTTAACTAAATTCATAAGAATTACAATATTATTAAAACAATAATCATCATTCAGCATTCCATGTACCATATAATTCCGCCTAAAACGTGCATCGGTGTATAACGCGCCTCTATAATTTAAAACTATGTTTTTTAATTTTTAGGCATATTTGTCATATATAACGCACACTCTATTCGTTGTGAAAAACCTTAAAGATACGTGTTAGAAGCTGTTATCTTTTGAGTGTGTGTGTGTGTGATTAATGGCAAAGCCTCGAGGGCTATCTGCTAAGAGGAGGGATGCCTTCGTGGAGGACTTTCTAAGGGAAACTGGCTCGTATACACGTTACACATGGGGAAAACCACGAAAACGCCCATGCAGCCAGCCCGTTCGCGGGATTCGAACCTCGGACCGAACTACCAGTGTTCAGCGACTTTACCGCTCGGCCGCTGGTGGGCTGTTATCTTTTGAAGGTGTTCATTCGAAGATTTTTGGCAGGCTTTTGAATAATAATATGCTGAACTGACAAGCTATAAGGGGAATAATATGTGTGTATGGATGTGTGTGAGGGGGGATAAATGCTTGACAGAGTAAATAATTCTGCAAAGAAAGTGATTTGTATTCAATGCGAATGTGCACAAGAATGTTATTATAGGGTTTTCGAGGAAAGGAAGAAATAATTTGGGATACGAATGTACTTCTGCCAAGAACGAATTCACGTAATTAGGGGTGAATGTTTTCTCTTTCTGTAATCATTTGAAGCCCTGATTTGAAAGTGAATATCGAAGGCTTTAGTAAATCGCATTTGCTTTAGCTGAAATATAGTTGAGTTAGTATTTCTTTTCGTAGTAAATATGGTTTCTGCCAAACGAAACGTAGTGCTAGTTTAAAGTGCAAACTGATTCAACTTGCGAAAAATTTGAAATCGCGTTGCAGCAAGGATGTTTGAAACTTGTAATAGTTCATCCATATATGAGTGGAAGAAAAAGGAAATTATAATAATTAATATGCCAAAGAATGGATATGTTGTGAGGAAAAAGATAACGAAATGGCTTATCCTAGAACAAAGTTGAGAATGGGCCCTAGACAATCGCCAGTAACAGTGGCACATGTAAAATTCAAATGTGCTCATTCTTTAATTTTTAAATATATTATTTTTATATTCGCCATATAAATGCGCTTTCACAAATTCCGATCGAATCTTTTGTATTACAATTGCGCGTGTTATACCCTGGAATATACAGTACATTCCCAGTGTCTTCCTTAAAGTTCTGCTTGCTGTTACACAAACTAAGAATCTTCCATGAATGCTTTTTAATTGCTTTTTTCTCTCCCCCGAGACTTTGAAATACTGTTAATATTATGTCCTGCAATACACACTTTCGTTCAGCAGATGTAAAATAATACTGAAGATGTTAAACCTAGCAAGTAAACGAAATATAGTACTATTTGGGTGAGAGACAATCAATGATTAATACTTGAATGCATTACGATAAAGGCCAGCAGACCGAGTGAAAATTAATTAATTCTTCGTGACTCTTCCGGACTTTAAAAAGTTGGATTTAAACGGTCAGGTATTACTTCTTTATGAAACAGGAATCTACAGTTTTACCTTTCATACAAATATCCATTGTGAATTAATGCCTAAAATAAAGTAAGAGAAAAATATGCCAAATACAGTGCTAATTCGAATCTTCTAAAACCGAAATTTCTGTAATTAAATTAAGACAAAGAGGAATATATATTATCAAAGATGCATCCAAAATACGGAGATCTAACGAAGGGAATCAGGGAATCTAACGTATCATGTAAAGATAGGTCATCTGCGATATTTGGCCGCGTAATGAGTTGTCTCTTGGGTAACTCACCATAAAACAACAATCCAAAAACGTTGGAGAAACCCGCGAAACACGTTTCTGCGCCAATAAATTAATGATGTAATGTCAGTACATAGGCTAAAAATTTAAATAAAATTATGATATGTAGTATTAAAATGTTTATAGCATTCTGATTGCAAAACGTCTTATAAGAGTTTCCGAAAATTTTAAATTACATCAAGTTACACTATCCAGTGTCCTATAAACGACTATCGTGAATTTATTAACCATTCGACCTACTCAGTGCACTTCTGCTCAGGATGTAAGATTTCTAACGCATTTTCTGTGTAGCCTCGCAGGTAACCAATTCTAAGAATATTGTCATTCTGGAAATGTAATATCATCAATTTATCTTTCAAATTTTCTTGGTATTCAATTAAAAAATACTGAGCGATTCAAGAGTATTAAAGGCGCATTTTTTAATATTTTAATATTTTGTTTTGTACTTATATATGTATTGATGTAGTTTAAAACTTATTTAAATCTAACATGCAGCTATAGTTAAACGTATCTTAAATTATCGCACTTGGAGTTTGTATTGTTATTTGCAGTATCGTAATTAACAAAAGGTGTTTCTAAAGCCATATAATAAATGTCCCAATAAAGAATAGTTTGATTTTAAAATAAATTTTACATTTAGAAGAAATCAAGATTAAAATTCTATATAACAAGTTTCAGAAGATGTACGTGATTATCCGTGATATGTCTGTTGCACAAAAGTCAACAGAGTGACAATGAAAGTATTTAAAATCAAACGAATAAAATTAAAAGCATTTCTTAAGACAAACTTTCAGCAAAAATTCGCAATTAAAAGAGAATAGTGATTTTTTAATCTAGTAGGCCCAGTATATATTATAAATGATAGATATTAAAAAAATTTATTAATAGTCAGTTATATATTATAGAAACAAATTAAAGTATTGGATAGAAAAGTGGAAAGTGCAATGTGATGCAATGACTCTTACATCTCTTTTAACTTTTAAACTTCTAGAAAACGTCTTAAGGCATTTTAAATTATTCATGCTTTTGTTTTAATATTTTAAACTCTCTAACGGTAGTATATGGCCCTCCCATGACGCCTAAAGCAGGACTAGTAAGAAGATTTTCATTCTTTTCTCGTTTACTACAGATTTTGAATCATCTTAGAGGATGCAACTTCTTCGTAGCATGGCAATCTTTGTATTCGGAATATGGCATTACTTTAAACCTAGGAATAAGATTAAAGTTAGGCGATTGGTTTCATTATGCACTCATACTATAAATCCTGTTTTATTTCGGAACCAGATTTAAATAAATATATTTTCTTGCACCAACCATTTATCGTCAAAATAGAATCTTTAAGCATATTTCGAAAGAAAGTGCTTATGAAGTAAAAGGGACAATTGATTTAACAGAGTAATGTGCACATTTCAATATGTATGGTGTGCGAACCAGGTCGAAAAAGACTCTTAGGATACATTTAATCACTTAATAAATCCTTAAGAGATAGCTGGGGAACCTTAATAAGACCTTGAAGGATTAAATTCATATGAAGAATATAACATATTAAGAACCGTTAAACCGCAATTTTCAAAGGTACTAAAAGCAAAAACACGCACACTCTCTGAGATTGAAATATAAAAGAATATTTAATAAAATAGAGCATTTTTACTTTTAATTTAGTTAAAGAATTTTTATTATTATGAATGTAAAAAGTTAAGAAACTCCTACCTGTTGATATCAAAGCTATGTGATCATCTCGGAACCTCAAGAGATTTTCTGCAAAGTTAAGCCTTGCTCCCTCGAACCAAGGAGGTGAATCCTCCATCGGTATGCTCAGATCAATCACCTAGAATGTAAGCCAAATAAACTAGAATGTTTAAGTACTTATATAATCTGCTTTGCTGAATGCATCCTATAACTTCATAACTAGTTTAAAAAAGCTCCCTCATTAAAAAATTACTAAAACTGTTTAGTGCGTTGTAACAACTTTTCTTATTCATCAATAGACTGACTGAATGGCAATAAATTGTAAATGAAAAATCTATGTATCAAAAAGAAAGAGGGAAGAAATCGAATTCTTCTATAGTAACTCTAATTTTTTGCAAAAGCAGAGTGAGATTAACTAATAAATCCATAAAATAAGTTTTAGAGAAATCTGTACAGAGCAAGAAAAGCAGTGAGACATAATCATACAGTAGCCTTGAAACTGTTTTCAAGTGAAAGAATAACAGATATCCCCTCATCTTCTTCATAGTATATTAATTTTAAAAAAATCTGATGTGTACACCACACGATTTCCTTGTACGGAATATTAAATTATACGCATTTCTTCTTCCATTTCATTTAAACTTATTGGATTGAGTTAAATCTACTTCGCCGACAACGCATAAACCACAATAGAATAAATGCATTCTTTAAAATTCGTTCTATTTGTTTATCATAGCGACATTCTGGCGCTAGGTTCACTTAACAGTATTATATTTCGTTCATATTATAACTCAGAATGCACAAAATTTATATCATTTAAAGAATTATCTAATCGTTGCCACATGTTCTACTCAAATACTATAATAAAGCTAGAACGATGTATAAAAGAAATTAAGCAAACAAAACAAAAAATAAACAGTTTTTCACAGACGATTGAGTATTTCGCATTCAATTATTTCTGTTCTCACTTAGCGATAAGGCCAAAATACATAAAAACTCAAAATATCTGTATTAATAATTACTAAATCTTAAACACTTATTTCCTCGAAAAAATTCCAGAAAGGATTAAGCATGATTTAATTCGCAATAATAAACGAAGGCGTTATCTTGCGTTGTTGCGAAGCTAAGTTCTCTAGATTAGCAACAAATCCACTATTCTTCTGTTTCAAATGTAAACAAGCAATGGCCGCCATCAAAACAATTATTAGGCTTTCCGGCACTTGAACAACTTTAAAATTGTTGATAATTCTAAAAATATTGCATACAGATTTACTAAAGGCATACAAACCTTAACCGGAAGATAAGAACAACATAATTCAATTATTTTTAAAGCAAAAAATGTACAATTTACAAACATATAAGAATAAAGAAACTGAGATCACTGAGCCGGGTAACAGAGTGGATATATATATAAATATATTTATATACGTTTGGTGCGGCCGATTGCAACCAATCTAAGAGGTGCACATGTATATGTTATAGCAGTCTTATATACAAAATTTCAACGCTCTGAGGCTACTCGTTTTTGAGTTATGTAAGATACGTACGTATGCACAGACGCCACGAAAAATTCTCTTCAGAATTCATTTTAAAGCAGTTTTATAATTTTTTTGGAGGAAAAGCATTCTGTCCTTACGTACAGTTATCACGCAAAAAAATCGTTAAATTGCATTCGATAGCGGGCAAAATGGATATTTTCGTTGAAATATGCTGCCTGAAACTTTTCGCGATTACAATACTTCCTTTTTACTTCGTACAAGGAAGTAAAAATGCAGAAAACCACAAATTGATAATTTTTTTTAATCACGGCTTTCAAAAAGGGCCGAATCTTTAAATCTGCGAAAATTTCGAAACTTTTTGACCGATTAGATGTTGGAAATTTAAAATAATGGATGTCAAAATGTCGAAAAAATTGAGAAGTTTTAAAACATTTGCCAACATTCAGAAATTAAATTATAATTTGCATATATTTTTATTTAAAAGAATTTTTACGACATCTGATGATTCAAACTATAAAAATTTGAGGTTTTTAGTTATATTCAGAAATATGATACAGAAATACGAATTATAAATTTTTTCAGCATTAAAAAGTAATTAAATTGAACTTTGAAAATGTCCTTTTACCTCTGTTATCATTCACAAGCAGTGTGTACACAAAATTGGATCTTGATAGCTTATCAAGAAGCAGCTTAAAATCGATAACAATCTTTTGACCGTAGCTACAAATACTATGAGTCAACTAAATCAAAGCTGATGATAAATATGTGTTAAGTTAAAATTGATAGATATTAGAAAATTCAGCACTGGGAATTTTAATGATTAATTAGTAATAAGCAACAGCGACATTAAGTATGAGCTCTGGCAAAGAATAGCAATCTTTAGTGTATATCTTAAGATCTCCAGTTTATTACATTATTTTTTATCTCTATGTTTGCAAGCACGATATTTACTTGTGAGAAGATTTGTTCTTGTAGTTGCTTTTAAATTAGTAGATTTATGATATTCATTGAAAATTTAAATCTGTACTACGCTGAGTACCGTTTACTGGGGGGGGGGGTAAGCTGGAATCCAATAAATCTCACATAATTCTGAAAGGGTTATTTACTAGTAAATTCTGAAACTAGTAAATTCTGAAAGGGTGAATAATGAGGTGTAAAAATTTACTAGTTTATAATAAATTAAATTTCTGAAACTCAGCATACACGAGTTAGTGTATGAAGAAGTTGCGAAGAATAATTAGTGAAATATGATTGGATTAATTATTGAATAATGACAAATACCGGAAATCTGTTTTTCTAAGTCAGAGGCTTTCTAAGAGGAACAGTCTAGTACGGCCTTTTACAGGAGGCAACGGTTGCCCACCTACTAAGTGCCTCCATAATGAAGTGACCACCGCTTCTTACCTTAGTAGTGACCAGTGCCTATAAACGATTACAGCCCTACATTGGGAAAAATGTACTATGTCTTCACCAGAATACTGAAAAATCTACGATATTAATTAACATTCATACTAACCAAACGGCAGAGATTAGCGAAACAGGAATTGAGAAGTATGCTGAAATAAATGATAATGCTGAAACACAAAAATATGATAAATATGATATTAAATAATATTGAAATACTATCATTGAAATATTATGAAGATACTGAACGTAATCATCCATATCACTTTGTCATTCAACAGTGCCAGTATTTCTAGCGATGGTATAATGCATAAATACTTATTATTTCAAATTATATTTTGCCAATACTTTAAATCAGAAAATATTTCCTTAAGGCAGTTGTAAATTTATAAGTATAAAATGTCTTAGTGAATGAATATATGATGGTTATGTAGCTGAAAAATATTTATTGAAGAAACAATAAACGATTAATCTCACAATGATTGAGTCAGAATGTACAAGTTATTTTCTCTTTCCTTTAAGCGTATACCTCACCAGCGGTAAATTCGCTGCACATTGGTAGTTCAGACCGGGGTTTGAATCCCAGCAAACGGGTTGTCTGCGTGGTCATTTTCTTAGTTTTCCCCATGTATAATGTGTTTACGAGCCAGTTTCCCTTAGAATGTCCTCTACGAAAGCATCCCTTCCCATAGGCAGATAGCCTTCGAGTACTTTGTCGTTATTAAATAAACCAAACCAAACTTTTCCGCATACGTTTCGTGGTGTAAGTGGAAGCACGCTCGGCGCGTACCGGAGGTCCGAAGTTCGAATCTCGGCGAACGTATTGCGTAGTTTTCTGTTCCAGCATCGACATAACCTAATGACTCTACAATTGTAAAATGATACAGTAGTTGTCTTTAAAAGAAGTGTACGTAAGTGGTAATAGATATTGCAGATTTTCATGAAAGACCATGGAGTGCCTGAGTGCTTGATAGAATCAGATTTCTTAATAACTAATGCGTGGAGAATGTACATATGATATATACCAAATATTAAAATATGAAGAGCGTAATGTTGAAATAAATTATACTGCTATGAAAATTAGGGCGCACATTATTAGTTAAATATTAATATAGTATTTTCAAAAAGGGAAAGTACCTACCTTATCAAATGGTTTTGAATGTATAACTTTACAAGTATGCCAGAATTCCGCCCAGAATTCCGGAAGGTTTTCAACAGACCATTTATGCAAATCCCAGTAGTCTTCTGTCAAAAATAAAAGATTTGTTTAAATTTTGAATATTATCATTTTTATAGTATCATTGACACGAATTTTTGACTAATAAAACTTTTCTTAATTTGAAATATTTCGAATAAATTCAAGATTAAAACTACACGCCGCGTAACCAGAATAGTGGTTCGTGACTCTGACTGCAGTAGCGAAGAACGCGGTTGCGAATCCCGGATAAGGCATGGATTTTTGTAAATCTATAGTTTCTGTGCGTCATGGGGGCACTCTAAATGCGGCGATCCGAAAGTCCTCTCGAAAGGTTTCTGGTAGGAGGAGCGGAACTGAGCAAAATAGTACTGTCCCCTTTATGGTGTTCAAGGCACTTGCCAACGACAGGCGCAATATTGTACTTAGGAATATTGCACGATGCATTTCATGGGCTACCTCTAATGTTGCTGTCAGACAAGTGAGGTAAGTCACAACAAATACAACAATGACAAACTACACAATTTATTCAAGTTATTTTGCATATTCTAGTCCGCATATTTTCTTGATTTAGATAACATTAAATAATTGTCACCAAATACAACTCAATGTTAAGCTAAATTCAAATGCAAATGCAGAATTAAAAGAAAAATATTCCTTTAATGATCACTTACTAAAACAATTTTTTCCTTCATTTCACATTTCGTAATAAAAACATTTTAGGAGAAGAAATTAATGATATAAAAGTTATGTTCCCTTGCAACGCAGAAATTAGACTGGCATTTAAACTAATTAAAATATTTCCATCTCTCATTTCTAATTTTATGTCACCCAAGCAGGCCTGATTGTGCATTACTCAGCAGCAAGTAAATAAAAGTCTGACCGCATTCTCCCTTGAATCTATGAAATATCCCTCAGGTGGTTTAGACTCGCCCCCCCCCGGCTGAGAACACCAGCTCTAAGTGCTATAAAATATATACCAACACATTATCTCCTTTAAATTTAAAACTTGAATGATAGTAGAAAACCATCCAATTGCAAAAAATTCAGCGACTTTAATTATATAAATTACTTTAAATTCTGTTTGCAAAAGAAGCATATTATAGGACACTTTGGACTTACCAATATCGGAACCTCAGTTACTGTTACTCGCGCGAGTATTGTGCTGCTTTGTCAGTATGCTTAATTTTCCCTAGATTGAGCTCTCTGTGTAAATTTCAAATGACTGTTATGCAAAATTGTATTCATTAAGTAATCAATATAGGCATCATTTTGTAGTTCTTTCACATTTTTAAATTTCATTGAGCCTTTTTCCAAGAAAGCCGTTTATGGTTCAAAATGATTTCGGTCATGTGTGGAGAAACTCGTTTTATAGAGGAACAAGATAGCAATAGGCGGTTGTAGTTATAGATTAGCATTATGGAGTTATTTTATCTAAGGCTCTCGCAGTATGACAAAGCGAAACAGATGGGCATATTGATTTATTAAGGAAGCATATTTATAAAATTACAAATTAATAGGAAATGTAAGTCAGAACTAATATAGAAAAAAAATTAAATTACATTTAGTTTTCTGAAATTACTTAAATGCATTTTAAAGCAGAAAAATAAATCTTATTAAATTTTAGAGAATAAAAGCAATACTAAACCCTTACATGGGGAACCCTTTTTTTCAGATGATTCTGTGTTCTGCAGTGCTGAGCATCTTAAAGAGGTAAGATTCAATGCCATTATTTGTTTACTCTATGGGAAATAATGGTAAAATATTAACTAGAATAATTAAATAGAAAGGGAGACGCCGAGAAGGGATTTACTTGGTAGGAGTATTTTGCATATATATATATATATATATATATATTTGCCTTACGAACTGACAACCATTCTTTGCTAAAACGAGTTAAATTTATACATACATACATATCATGATTCCGGGAACACAGAAGAGGGATTAATCGTCGTAGCTGAAAGTGAAGGCTTACAGATGAAAATAACAAAGCATGAACTTGAAAAATTTCCAGTCTTTATTTCCACACATATAAAATCTTCTCCATAGATATTTATCGAATTCAATCATAATGAAACGTGATAAATTGCTATTTACATAGATTCTTAAATTTAAGACGCAAACACTTTAGACGGGAAAGCCAAAGCAGAGATATTAGCAAGGTGGGAGCTGGCAGAAGAAGTAACGTAATTAACTGCCAGGAGTTTTTATACCAGAGTAGGTGCGATTCTATAGATAAGCTACGATTGGTTAGTTATTAGTTTTGATTACCCTTTCCAAGCAGCGTTACACAACGTCGAAAGATCTCGAATTTGGGAGAACACATGAATTTAGGGGGAGATCCCCAAATCTCCAAATCTAGAATGTTAATTTTGAGATCGAGAATTATTTTTTAAAAGCAGCTATCGTACTTTGTTACATCTTACGCTTTGTTATATCTTTACATTGTTATATATATATATATATATATGTGTCTGTGTGTGTGTGTGATTATGGCAAAGCCTCGAGGGCTATCTGCCTAAGGGGAGGGATGCCTTCGTGGAGGACTTTATAAGGGAAACTGGCTCGTATACACGTTACACATGGGGAAAACCACGAAAACACCCATGCAGCCAGCCCGTTCGCGGGATTCGAACCTCGGACCGAACTACCAGTGTTCAGCGACTTCACCGCTCGGCCGCTGGTGGGCCTATATATATATATATATATATATATATATATATATATATATATATATATATATATATATATATAATATGTTGTATGAACTTAAATCCATTTTTAGTGCGAATACAAGTTATTATTACTTGCGCAATTGCTGCAAAGTTAGTTAATAATAATTTATTTCCTAAACAGTATTGATTAATTGATTATATTATCTCCTAAGTTAATTAAAGTAGAATTATTTTAAAAGTGTGCATCCATACTGGTATAATATAACTTACCAGTATGGATGCACACTTTTAAAATAATTCTACTTTAATTAAACTTAGGAGATAATATAATCAATTAATCAATACTGTTTAGGATATATATACATAACTTTAAAAAATAACACAGTAACAAACATTCTCACGACATAGGCAGATAGCCCTTCAGTACTTTGCCATAATAAAATAAACTAAACATCCTTTAAGTCGGAATATCTCACATTGCTTTATCATGTTCAAATATATCAAATTATCTTATTAATTTAATTTTTTATGAAGGTTCTTTTGACTTAAATGAACTGTCTTTTTATTGATTGAGTATTGTTCGTGACTTATGATCTGGCTCTAGTCAATTAATTTGCTGTCAATGATAATAACTTGATTTTGGCATTTTTACGATTCAGAAACTTTCTTTACAGATTTTTATGGCTTTTACTGCAATAGAGGTCTAGAAAATGCTTATTAAAATACTGACTAAAAACACTTTTTTCTTATAATAATTCATGGTTTTAATTGCATTTCTGTTTCTTGGAGATGGTATATGAAAAAGTGTTCTAATAATAATCATTGGTTTACTACTTTGCAGCTACTTTAGCTAAAACTTACGTTTGTATTTTATGCGTTTATTGAATATTCCGACTCGGGAAGCCATTTTGTCAACTATACGCTACAAAATGGAAAACAAATCATTCTTACAGATGATAAAAGAAAGTACATTTTTATTGAAAATATATACACTTACTTAATGTGACATTATACTTGTCCTCTATTTTTTTCTTGAATTCCTTCATTTCTTCTCCATAATTCCCACTTGGCTTCCACACCACTTCAACATTGCTAAAATTCTTGTTATACATCTGGTCCTGTAAGATTATAAGAAATTATAAAAATACGTTTTTAAATTCCCTGACCCGTAGTGCTTACCACATAGTTTTGAATCTATAATTTCTATGAAATCGTGAATGTTGAGAGTACCTTTGTAATGAATTAGCGATTTTGTGGAATACTCACTCATATAACGCAGGCCAACTTTAAATGTAAATAGCTCAAAAATGGATCGATATATTCTATTTCATTTCAACATTTCAGTGATTATAATAACTGCAAATAATATTCTATGGCAGATCGAACACTTTTTGTTAGCTTTAAAACAACGAGCTTGGTTATCAATCGACAGACGGGGCAAGTCGAAACATCAGTTTCAACTCACAGTCAGTTCCAAGTTTTCACTACATCCTCGATAGTTGGGATGATGGCTATCGCTTATAGTTCTGAATATATATGAATCCACAGGTTAATGCCCTTGCCTCTGCATTCGCCTGGTTTAAGTTCCTGAAATCTCTTCCTGTGACGATTTGTTGTAGATAAAAATTATAGAACTCTTAAATGATCAGGAACCTCAAAAATACTATCGAAGATAAGTGATATTTTAACACATTAAAGGCGGGATTCGTAGTACTGTGATTTATCTCGACTGTAGCTTAAAGGCGGGAGTCGTGGTACTATAATTTATCTCGACTGTAGCTTGCGCATCTCGACTGTAGCTTGCGCATTTATCTCGACTGTAGGTAACGCATAGATTGTGCAATGTGCTTTGCAACCACATTGCGGAATCCATGCGCCACTTTACGTTTGTATTTGGTATGTTTTGTGGTTTGAAGCTGTTCGGTTGTTCAAATTCTACTTACAGTAAATTTTGAATCCTTCAATAAGGTTTCACGTGAAAATAAAAGTATATATGCAGACGATTTGATGGACATTGAAGAGCCACAACCCGGTACATCGAACTCGGCACCACGGATTCCACGGTATAAAATTGATCCGCCTGGACGTCTTTCGCTAGACATCAAAAAGCTCAAATTAATTCGGATAGAAAATAAAAGCAAAAACCTATATGCCCAACGAAACTGCGTAGTTTGTGCCGCACATAAAAAAAGAAAGTTGACTTGCTTCAAATGCGAGTTTTGCAATGCACCTCTTCACCGTGGCGAGTGTTATCAACATTATCACACTCATAAAAAATACTACATTCTTCTCATAAATATGTACTTTAAAACATTTTTTGTAATTAGTGCTTAGTTCTTTTTTAATATTTCTTGTAGTTTTAAGAGTTTAAATAAACTTTTTTAAGTCTAACTTTTTTTTTATGATTACACAAAATATCTCTCGCTTTAGGACGAAAAACGAGGCGAAGCGGTCGCCGCGTTACCTAGCATACTTTCGTCAAGATCCCCCGCCATTAATGTGTTAAGCAACGTCATGAGAAAGTTGGAGGCCAAATTTCGTCATGTTGTAGTCTACGCATTACAAATGCTTCGATAATCTCCTTATGTGATTGTCTTTTGCACATTCTTTACAATAACGATAATTAAGTTTAGCTGTTTAATCATTGTGGAATTAGTCGCATTTAAAGCTAGATATGTATGTACTTTAGTAATACCGGTTATATTACTGCTAGCAAAGCAAAGAGATGCTGGGTCCACCAGCGGCCGAGCGGTAAAGCCACTAAACACTGGTAGTTCGGTGCGAGGTTTGAATCCCGCGAGCGCGCTGGCTGTGTGTGCGCTTTTGTGGTTTTCTCCATGTATAACGTGAATGCGAACCAGTTTCCCTTAGAAATTTCTCCAAGATGCATCCCTTCCCTTAGGCAGATAGACCTAGAGGCTTGGCCGTATTCCCATAAAACCAAAAGTAAAACGATAGCTTTTGATACGAATATAGAAAACAAAGTTTTAAATTAGAAACCAAAAATTGCAATATGTTGTACAATTCTCTATGCTTAGAGTTAAGAAATATTTTCTTTATTATTCAGAAATTCATATCATATTATTTCAAGACGAAATTATTTTGAAAGAATTCACATTTATCATAAGCATATCATAATTTGTATTTTAATGCTGAAATCTGCTACAGTTAAAATTGTGATTTAATAAGATTTGATATGAGCATGAATGTTGTAAATGCTATTGAAAAGAAATTTATTAGACAATCGGATTGTAAATGTCAAGCTTATGCTTTGCTTTTCGCGAATGTAAAGCTTACGCTCTTATATTTGAACTACAAAGTTTCTGTTAATCTTTTAATCTTAAAAATAAAAATAAATAAATAATAAAAAATTGAAAGCTTCCGGATTATATTTTAAACCCAAAAGGGCGTTTATTAACGTTTTGTGCATTACCATTATTTATTAAATATCATATTCTTCACACTTAAATAATGCAAAATAATTTTAAAAGAATATATCTTTAGAATTTCCGATACACAGTCTCGCGCGCTGCAGATATATATATATATATTTTTTCGTACAGTGGTGCTACTGCTCGCTTTGAAATCATTCAGTTTTTTAATCAAACTCATAAATGCTTTATAAATACGAAACAGATAATAAAACTAATTCCAAATTCCAAATTAGAGCTTCTAGATTCCCATATTCGGGTGGAGATGTACGCTATTCAAAATTTGTTGGCTCTAGGTACCGGTGCTTTATCACAATGCAAGAAACATACATATCTTTACGCAGATTCGTCATTATTTAATTTCTTTAAATATAATACAGGGCGATAATATTTGGTGGCAACAATTTGTAAAGTTTGCGACGCAAAATTCCAAAACGAAATTAGTAACTTTTCTGACTTAGCACCCTTTGGGCTAATAAATATGACAAAAACCTGAAAGCTTTCAGATTTTATAGTACACCCAAATGGACTTTTTTTAACATTTCGTGTGGTACTTTTATCTATTAAATATCATGTTCTTTGCACTTAAACCATAAAATTCAATTCAACAGCAATATCACAAAGTAATTTAAAAAGAGCATATCTTTAGAATTTCTAAAACATAGCCTCGCGCAGAGATAATTTTTTTCCTGTACAATTTTGCCATTGTTCATTGTCATTGAATATTAAATTCAGTGAAATCCAACTTTTATGTGCTCCATTAGCCCCGTAAGGAATTTTCTGCATCAGTGCGTTATGTACCGTAGTTAGAGGGGATTTTTAAATTCCATAGGAAATTAGAGATATTTCTTTTCATTTAGGAAAATACAAACATGTTATCTTTCATATATATTAATAAATAAAAATATATCTTTCTTTACCTTTTTAAATCAGTCAATAATCTTCGATCTGTTAACAGTCTTTCCTCGTATCTTGACAAAAAGGTTATGCGTAGTCCGATTCCTCACCGCAAGTTTACCACAAGATCAAGTTGATAATATTTTTTATTTTGAAACACTTAAGCAGATAATATTGATAACAGTCAAGGGAACTTGATGTGGAGGAACTGATTAGTAAATTTTTTTTCTTGAGAATTAATAGTATTTCTCGAGATCTGAAAGTTACGTCATAGGAAAAAATAAATCTGGTAAGTAAAAAAGTTAAATTTCACTTTAAAAATATTATGTGAACACCAGTTCACTTTTTACTGATTATAATAATTTTTAAGTGATTGATGGAAAAAGAGCAGCATTCATGCGCAGAAAAGTGTTATCTTGAGGGGGAAAGGCGTTTCAAAGGACAGTACGGGAAGCTGGTTTAAGCAGAAGGGATAGCTTTTAGGGTAGAGAAACGAGATTCAAATTAGATCTTCAAACGCACTACGCTCGGCATCTGAAATAAATTCCTTTTAAGTTATAATTTAACATTTTGAAAGAGTTTAAAATCCTTTTAAAATAACGAAAATATCCTTTAAAATAACGAAATTTTATTGAATTTAATTTGTTCTTCACCTGAGTTAGCATAATTTACTATAAACCCGATTGATGAATTCAAAGTAATTATAAAGAAAGTTGCCTTTTGGCATTTATCTAGGGTAGCAAAAACGGCCAGAGGAACACATAGAATGTAACTAAACCTTTATGTGATTGCTTAGTTTCACAATCAGCGGTAAAAGTCGCTGAGCACTGGTAATTCCTTTCGGGATTCGAATCCAAACGGACGGGCTAACTGAACGGCTGTTTTTATGGATTTCTGCATGTGTTCAATGTATACAAACTAGTATTTCTGAGAAAGTTCTCCGCGAACACATTTCTTCCTTAGGCAGATAATCCTCGGGTGCCTTTTTGTTGATCATCTCCGCGGAGTGGTCCGAGAGCCACACACTCCTCTCCCATTCCACCAAACCACACGAGAAGCCTTTTGGCTCCCTAGATATTTAGAATGTCCGCCATCCCGCAAAGACACTGTACATTTAAGACAGCCATGCCTTCTCCGGGATTCGAATCTGGGCCTTTTGGTACCGCAGTTGGCTACCATAATCACTATTCAGTCTGGAAAGGCCAAATGTAAACAAATGGCGACCTCGTTCGGCCCTAGCGCCATATAAACTTAATTCAGTTAAATGGCTCATTTAACTGAATTAAGTTAATTAATTCTATAACTATTGCATGCAGATTAACTAAAGGAATAAAAACCTTAATCGGAACATAAGAACAACATAATTCAACTACTTTTAAAGCAAAAAGTTCACAATTTACCAAAATATTGAGCTCACCGAACCAGGTAACAGGGTGAGAATATATATATAAATTTAGTGCGGCCGATTGCAATGGAAAAAAGAAGTGCACAAACACATGTTATAGTACTCCCATATACACAATTTCCAACGTTCTACGTCTACTCGTTTTTAAGTTATGCGAGATACATACATACGTACGTGATGTAGAGATCACCAAAAAATCCGTTCTGAATCCATTTTTAAGTCATTTTACAATCCGTTTTGGAAGTCATTTATTCTGTCCGTATGTACAGATGTGACGCAAAAATCGTTCGAATGTATTTAACAGCGGTCGAAATGGATTTTTTCGTTGAAATATGATACCCGAAATATTTTGCCATTCCAATATTTCCTTTACTTCGTATAAAGATGTCAGAATCCCAGTCACTAATGTGGCCGAAAAATATTAAAAATCTTATATAATAAACAGATGTTTAATTTGCGATTTCGATACCAGAACTTTTTAATAGAAAACTGAAAATTATTTTTAATGCAATTTACCTCCTATTCAGATGCAAATTAATAATTCCAATATAATAATAGGAGCTACCTTTGGGTAGTTTAGTCTTCCTATTTCAAATGAAATTCTCACAAAGATTTCAAATAGAAAATTACAAATTCATAAAAAATATATACAAAAATTAAGCTCTAGAATAAAACAATAAAAGAGTTAAACAATAAAACTTTGCAAATTTAATTTATATAAAAGTAATGATGTTGTTATAATTATTGGTGATACTGCAGCTGCAAATAAAAAAAAAATCATACTTTATTCCTTACTTTTAAAAAATCTGTCAACTATTCAATAAAAGATAATATTATTCGTATGTGGCTAATTACAAAACACGTATTTCAACAACTGCTAGCAAGTACGTCTTAAAAGTTGGACGACAGCTTTGTTTTATTTAAATTCTATGCGAAAAGTCGATAAGAACAAAGGAACTTTATCAGTGGATCTGATTAGTCACTTAGTTTACTGAACCGTCAACTTCAAATAAAGGCGATCAATTACAATACTATTAGAAACAGTAATGGTACTAATTGGACATTGAACTGTTATCCATTATTGTTTGCACTACAGGATTTAAAAAAATAAGCACTTTATAAATGTAATAAATCCGTTAAAAAAAGGTATTATGTAATCCATTTTAAAACTACTTATTAAATCACTACACGCTGAATCAATGATTAACAAGTGTTTATCGAAAAAAATAGCGTTGCTCTTATAGCCGAGTAGAATAAATCATTGATTAATGAATAAGGAAACCATTCTATTTTAATAGGAACACTTTTGATAGTCGCCTTAATATATTTAATGTACTCTCTCGAGTTACGAAGTGACCGCCTTAGAAAATTCTGTTTTAACTATCTGTACTAACGTTTGTTCATGCTTTCAAAAATACTAATTTCATTTGGAGGAAAGTCACCCGATGTATTTTGCTTTATTTAGTGAATGTTATTTACTAAATAAAGCAAAATACAGAATACGATGTATAGCGAAACAGGTATTTATTTGAGTACAAAAGCAGTCTACTGGTTCGAAATGTCGTTCTCTCGACTATTAACCGGTCGTGCTTTCAATTACACCATGAAGGAATGAGAAAATTAATTATAATTAATTCTCGAATATTATAAAGTGTGTAAGAAATGTATAAGAATGTTATCCCTTCTTGCCAATTAGTATATCCTCAGTTGCAGCAATATACATTTTACGTAGTGAATCCCTCTTGCATCATCCTTTGGAAGCAGAAATTCAAAAAGAAAATTTAGGTATTTTAAGTAATCACGAATAACGTATGTGTAAAAGGAAAAGAAAATTAAAAGGAGGGCTATTTTTTTTTAAAAAAGGAATACTTACTTCAGTTGAAATGAAGGACATTAGCAGCATTTTAGTTCGAAATAATAAATCTTTCGATCATTAAAAAAAAAAAAAAAAAAAAAAAAAAAAAAAAAAAAAAAAAAAAACAAAAAAAAAAAAAAAAAAAAAAAAAAAAAAAAAAATAAAAAAAAAAAAAAAAAAAAAAAAAAAAAAAAAAAAAAACAAAAAAAAAAAAAAAAAAAAAAAAAAAAAAACAAACGTATTCCTATACATGTCTCAGTATTCTTCTCTATAATTAAACAGATGTTTTCAAAACAGTCAATAAAATAATCATCCTGTTTTACTAAATATTCTGATAGCAGTGTCACTTAATATTTTCATTATATTCGAAGCATTATATTTTAAAATCAAATTTAATGCCAGCGTAGTATTCAAAAGTTCTCATTTTTAGGTCGTAAAAAACGGAGCGTCATTGTGATATCACTTTCATAGATATTTCAAATCTTTCTGATCTCCGATTACATTTTCAAAATTTCACTTTTACAATAAAATATAAACGCTGGAATAGACACTCATTTTGACCTCGTAGAAGGAGGCTGAAATAGAACGGTTTCCAAATAAGTCCCATCTGAGAAAGCCTAAAGAGAACCATTTTTTAACAACTATTGTTTCCCGCATAAGTTTTCAAATCAATTTTCAAAAAGTATTGCAGAATTTCTTTACCAAACTATAGGGAATATTAATACCGCCTTTTCAACAGCAGTCAACAGCAGAACAGCAGAACTATTTTTCAACAGCAGTCCACAGCAGAACTATTTTTTCAATGACGGGTGTCCTCATCTAGGATTATTTTAATTTTTCAATAGTCTGCTACATTATTAAAACTTACAGAGCTATAAATTTTTTTCCTTACTTTTTAAGTTCCTTTATGTTGATTAACCAGTTATGTTATGTTTTAGATCTTTACTCCCTCCGTTTTCCCGCCAGAATGCCAATCTAGCCGGCATTCATTTCACGAGTATTTATAGTGAGGTTTTTTTAGATTATAATACAGAACTTGTTCTGCCTCTCAAGGTCACGTTACTGGAATTGCTATATAAGATAAGATTTGCAGTCTTCGCGATTGCATTATAATAGCCGATAGTTGATATCCATGTCTATTACATTTTGATTTAACTCCGCCTTAAACTGATTTGACAAGACTTCGGCTACTAGCTTATCTGAAATTAAATTTTACACTTGATTTACTTTAAGTTATCTCACCACAAGTGGCACAAATTGTGGCTTTTAGTCTTATTTAGTTTTAAATAAAGTGTCTTTTACACTCTTCTCCAGTTTCAGTTATTACTTAGCTATAATTCAGTTAATGTCTTCCAAGAGTTTGGATAATTTGAATGACTGTAAAGAACGCTAAACTCTAAAAATTGTGTAAAGCTAATTTTTGTACAGAGCAGACTAGACTAGATACTCAGAAAAAAAATTACGGTAAATAATTTCTATGTCTTAAAATGTCTTTTCTATGCATTCTAAAAGAACTTTATTAGCTGATGTCTTAGCAACAAAATCCTAAGCCCTGAGGCTACCAGAATGTTATTTTGCCGCAGGGAGGCTTGTCAGGTTGAGAATTAAGCTTGATATCATACCGAGAGCTTGGGCTTTAGCGGTCAAGAGATGCTTCAGGACTGTCCCGACTGCGGCTGCGTTTGTCTCGGCCGGAGGGCCGCCTCTTTCAATTTTCTATGAATTCTTTTTGGATAAATTCTATATTACGTACCAACCGAATGGATTTTAAAATATATAATGTCACAAAATATGTTTTTGAGCATTTTAATATACAGTCTTTGCACCCTTCTAAAAGAATTCGGTACATTTGTGACAAAGAGATTCCTGCTTCAAGTGCGTACGATGTATATACAGACGGGT